ATCCTCTTTAAAACATAACTCAGATCATATCACTCCTTTCCTCCAAACCCTCCATGGCTTCCCATCTCACTCAGAGTGAAAACCGGAGTCTTCACGATGGCCTTCAAGGCTCCAGAAGATCTGCCGTGGGTTCCATCTCCTCCTAATTTCCCCCTCACTCACTGCGCCCCAACCCACCAGGCCCTGTGTTCTTTAAATACAACCAGCACACAGACATCTCAGGAGCTCTGCACTTGCTGTCCCAGCCACGTGGGCCACTCCTTGCCTAGATTACCACCTGGGACACTCTCTCACCTGCTTTCAGTCTTTGTTCAAATGGCATCTTCTCAACGTGGCCCTCCCTGAAAGCTCCATTTAAAATCGCAACCAACTTCCCCCTTCCCCACTTTGTTTTTCTCCATAGCACCTATCAGTATCTGATACACCATATGTTTTAGTTGTGTTCTGTATTTCCCCACTAGAATGTAAGCTCCCTGAGGGCAGGGACTTTTCTATGCTTAGTCTCTATTGTATCCCAGCATCTAGAATAGTACCTGGCACATAACAGGGACTTAATAAACCTTTGCTGAATAATAAGTTAACAAATGAATCTGTAATTACCTATGAATGTAAACAGAGAGGAGAAAAGCCTTTACAATGAGTTCAGGAAATGGTTTCCCTCTCCCTCTACTCTCTCCTCTCCTTGAAAACCCTGGCAAGCAAAGTGTCCTGCCACGAGGAAGTTACCAGAGCTCCCTACTAGGCACACACACCCTGCCTCCCAGCCTTCATGGGAAAGAGGACAGACTAACTTCCAGGATCCACTTATCCATTCCTTGTCTTATCCTTGTGGATAAGACAAGTTGCAGGGGAACAGACACTGGTATCGGATTTCAAGAGTCATCTGTATTACAGGACCTCAGACTGCTGCAAGGACACAGGAACAGGGCAGTCCAGATGGGAACAGAGGGAAAACAGCATGAGTGATCCCGGATACAGGTGTCTACAAATTTCTCCAACTATATACCTGATCCTAGGTCAGTTGGCCCACCTCATCGCTCTAGCACCATGAGATGGTCATAGGCTCCTGCCACCTATTTGTCAAATGAGTTTCGAGTATGATCTGCTATAACCAGGGCATGTGGAGGAGGTGGTGGGGGCAGACTGAAGAGAAGATGAATAGACACGTGCCCTAGTCTCATGGACCTCAGGACCCAAAATGTCCTCTGTAGATACCACAAAATCAGAGGCATGTCAAAAAAAGAATGGCAGTTTTGCATCAACCCTGATAGGATGTTATGCTTTCAACACGCTCATGCATAACACCCATAAGCAAAATCCAGTGAGACAGAAAGTGAACAGCGGTTAACCGTTTAACCAATACTGGCTATGGCAGCTGGGAGAATGCAACTTAGAAGGGAGCCATAGGCAGTGTCATAGAGAAAAGGAATTTTGAGGAGTGAGGACACTTTCAGGAAGCATCCAGACCACAAGTTGCCTCTTCTTGCCAAAGCCAGTGTGGTCCATACAAACCCCTGTTACCACAGCAGCTCAAAGCACCCCAGTCGCAACAGATACAGCAGGCAAAGCTGCAGGAACAGCACACCTCCAAGAGATTTCTGCATCTGCACAAGTTCACCAACAGCAGGTGGGAAGAGAAATAGCTCTGACTACAGAAATACAAACGAAAAATACTGGATTGTAAGAACAGAGACTTGAGTAACTACAGGCAGGGGATTTGGAACCTCTGCAATCTGTTTATCAGTCCTGAATCAAGAAAACAGCTAACTGAATCAGCAGATATCATGAAACCAGAAAGAAAGAGAAATGAGACTCAGACGAGTACCAGGAGAAAGTCAGTTCCCTTAGCCACTTCCAGCCTAGGTGAAGAGGGTTAGAACGCAATAACATCTGTTGTGTGAACGGCATTGATCAGAAGGAGAACGTATTGTACTGGAGAAGGAACACCTATCAAGTTCAGGAGAAATGTAAGAAATTCAATTAGTAAGCACAGGGGAGAGTTTGCAGCTTGAGGAGACCTTGGGGAGAGCCAGTCAAAACGGGTAGAAGCAGCCAGCAGAACGGGACGCTGTTCTGCATTGTTTCCGACCCAGGAGGGAGGGAAACCAAGAGTCCGCCTGGAGTCTGACCAAGCAGAGTTGAAGTTTTGGTAGAGACTAAATGAAGCGTGGGAAACTCTGGGTTGCCCTGACAATGAGAACCCTACCCCCTTATAATAACTCATTATAACGAAAAAAGTCACATGCAAATGAAGTTAACAGTAATCAACGGTAGAAGAGGGACGCACAAGGAGAGATGCATTTACGCTGCACATAAGGCTGCTTCAGAGGGCTTCTTCCTGCCGGTAAACCTGAAGGTTCTCCTACTGGTTTGGGTATAACTGGTGCCAATAAATCCTACGTATTTGTTGTACCCTTGACTAGAAGGGGCACTGGACTGGGAAATGGGGGTTCCCCTTCTCTCAGTGCTCACCAGCTGGGTGGACTGGGCCTTCCCAGACCAAGGAGGGGTAGAAAGGGAAATCAACACTGTTATTTATTTTGCATCTTATTGGTGTCGGTAGAGTTAATGCTCTGTGAGTGATTTTTGGTTTGTATATGCAAAAACATACATATATGTAAATATGCATTTATAAGACTAAGTTGACTACTTGTTCACAGTTAATTCCATGGTATGCAACCAGTGTGTGTGTATATATATATATATATACACGCAGAGAGAGAGAGAGAGAGAGAAGAGGGAAGTTCTCCTAGCCCTGGATCCAGCCATCCGGGTAGCAGAAAGCCTTCAGTAAATCGAAGCTTGGTGATTGACAGGCTGGAAGTCAGAGAGGGTATGAGTCTGCAGCCCTGCGAGCCCATACGATGAAAGGTCTCAGAGGATCTGTAGCTTGACCTCTTCTCCCTCTTTCCGTGGAGCAAAACTGAGGAAGGGTGCAAGATCACCGTCTCTTTGTGTGACCTCCGTGCCTGTGGTCGATAGATGACTAGAGAGAGATGGGAACTTGAGGAGAGCACCATGAGAACAGGAATCATGGTGATTTTTTCTCCCCATTTCTCTAGTGCCTCGCACAGTGCTTGGAATATAGTACATGCTCAGTTAATACATATTGAAAGAATGAATGAATGAGCAAACACACGAGCTAATGCACACATGGTGAGCAGTTCTTCAGCTGTGTCTGCAGCTCCTGCTTGTCTCAGTACCATCTGAGCCTTGGCTAAACAGGACCAACAAGCATGCCTGTATCCTCAAAACGCAACACTTCTCCTTTCAGTCTTTCAACGCACTTATCACATCACTTAGGTGAGGCTACACATATAATTGAAATGCATCACTCCCTAAGCCCCACAAGTGCCACCAGCCACTGCAGGGCCAATGCTCTAATTTCTAGAGGCGCCTGGCTAATCTGAGTGACATGGCCTCAAGACAACCTTCACATCTCAAATGTACAGTGACAGCACTCATCAACTCCGCCTGCCTTCCCTCCTTCTGGCTGCCTCCCACAGCTGGTGAGAATCCCAGAGAGTCCTCCAGGGGTTTCTGGGTCACACCTAACCCTGGGCTTGCTGGGCACAATCTGGCCCTTGGAACTTCTTTACTGCCCTTTACAGCTTTAGCATAATAGCCTCTGACTTTTTTCTGCAAAGCTTCTCAGTCCTGCCTTGTTCATCCTGCATGGGAATGCATCCATGGACATCTACTAAGCACTTCCTTGCACAGGCCTTACACGATCCTTGCTCTGTGGGCGTTACAATCTGGTGAGTCTCTCCTGAGACATAGCATTTCCTTTACCTCTAGTGTGAATTATACCCAGAGCTCCTCTTAAAGGGTGCTTTGTATAAACCACCCTGTGCCCCACCTAATAGCTTTTATACAGGTAGAATCAGGCCAAAACGATCAAGAGAAGGACTGAAGGAAACAGAGGGCACCTTAAGGTAAAGGCGGGGAGTGGGATACACATAAGAAGGGTGATCATTCCACAGGTATCTGCCTCGAGGTGGGCTGGCTAAATGCATATAAGGGCACAGTCCTTTGTAAGCACCTGCCCGAATTCCTTTGCCCACCCAGGCTCCATGTGCATCAAACCACATACCTACCCCCACCTCTCATGTTTGAACTTAGACTCTCCACCATGCCTTTGATAATTTATTAAAGTCAGACTCCAGAAGGCAGAAGAGACTTCACGGTCATCTTGTTTATCTTCTGTGCCCATGCAGGAATCCTCAACATCCCTGGCAGGAGGCTAGACATCCTTGTCTTCTGCAGCAACTCTGAACCTTCCAAACATGCCATATGAATCAGAGGGACCTTGTTAAAAGCCCAGCTCACCAACTGTACAGAGCTATACAAACTCAGAATCTCCAGAGAAGGGGCCTGTGGATCTGAATTTTTAACAAGCATCCCTGGCGAGCCTCACAATTAAGCATGCTTCTTATGTGCGTGTAATGCAGCAGTTCTTGACAGCGGCTGCGTATTAGCATCCACGAGGAAGCTTTAAAAAAAGTCAAAGACAGGTCTTCACCCTTAGATATTCCTACTTAATTGGTTTGGGATGGAGCCCAGCTGGTGTGATTCTTTTTTAAAGTTCCCAGCTGATTCTACCGCGCAGGCAGGGTTGGGAACTTTAATAGCTTCCCAACCTGACAGTAAGTAAGCTTTTTGAGGACAGCAACCAAGAAATCTACTCTTTTGATACCCTTCACTATACCCTACCACCTTGTCAAACCCACATACTTTATACCTATCAAGTGGATCTGACTGAACTAGTTTGTTCACCCATCCAATATAGGATGCAGTTTCCTAATTGTTTTAAGAAGCCGTGTACTTCCACTTAGCAACAGGGCAGACCAAGGAGGGCTGTGAACTGCTGAGACTTCTCACCCCGACACACACATAGCCCCAGCCCTCCCTGTCCCCAGACTAACCAGCCCAAACAACCCCAGAAGCCTCATTCCAGGTTTCTTCCCTCCTCCCGCCCCGCCCCCACCAGCTCTACTCACATTATACAGCACGGTGGTCCACCCTTCCATGGTGATGCACTGGAAGACAGTCAGCACAGCAAAAAGGATGTTATCGAACTGGGTGATCCCATCATTGGGGCCGATCCAGTCCTTGCATTCATAACCAGCTGGGCAGCCCTGCACGCCGCACGGGTGAGGGGGATCAAATCCTTCTAGAATACCTGTAGACACATTTGGAGGGTAGGGGGTAAACCACACGGTGTTTAGCATGAGCTGGAAATGACCTCAGGAAGCCACAGGCAAGCAATTTTATTTCCCATAGAAAGAGGCTTGTCCTGCTTTGTCTCGGGCTCCCTCTCCTCTCTGGTGTTTCTGCAGCTCCCGGCTCATGTGCCGTGTATGCAACCCAGCGTTTCCCGCTTGTTTCTGAAAATGGAGCCTCTCCTTCACACGGTCCCCCACTCTCTGCAGGCCTCACCCCTGACCCTCACCTGCAGTACCGCAGGGATTTACAGGGCCGAATCACACAGAAGGCTTGGAGGTGAAGGCAAAGTCAAGTTTCCTAACTTCAGGCTGCAGGATAAACCCTGAGTTCTTCCTGGGTTTCTATAGTTATAAACTACAGCCCCTTTAGTTTGTAACTAGCTCCTTGTTTTTCCAGCATAGATTCCTGGTCTTGAATAAAACGTAAAAATAAAAAATAGAAATCCAAAGTGCAAGGTGTTCTTCGAAGATCCTTTTCATAAAAACATGGTACCTAGGTGGAATCCTCAACCCGGCCCCCAAACCTTCTCCCCCCAAGGGAACCCAACCAAACTGCAAAAAAAAAAAAAAAAAAAAAAAAAAGAAAAATTGGGGGTTGGGGAACCCAACAATCCCCCGAACAAAACTGCCAAACCAAACCCAAAACCCCCCCAAGAATTCCAAAACCCAACGGGGGGAAAAAAAAAGGCAAAGAACAACCGGAAGAAGAACAAGGAAGGAAAAAGGCCCCAAAAGGCCAGGAGGGACCCAAGTCTGACTCCTGGGTCTCACTGGCCTATGTGCCAAACAGGCCATTGTACAAAGGGTACATATTCGGACAGGTGGCTTTTGAAATGCATTCTGACAGCCCTCTACCATGGGATGGGGGAGCTGAGACCAGCTACTCGAACTCTTCCAAATACCTAAGGGGTTATTTGCTTTGTAATAATCCCTGTCAAGTGGCGATCTTTAGTCTTGCCTGCTTGTGTCTCAAAAGGCTGCTTAACAGGAAGTTTCTGATTCTAATTCCAGGGTTGGGACATACTCTCCCAACCAGCCCTCAAATGCCTGGAAATCATCCCAGTGACCAGAGGAGGGAGAAAGGGAAAAAGGAGAAAACACAGAAGCGCGGCCCTACCTGAATTGTTCATGAAGCACGCGCGATGTAACTTCCCGCTGTAGAACTCCAAGCCAATGATAGCAAACATCAGGATGGCAAAGAAGAGCAGGAGGCCGATCTGCAGCAGAGGCACCATGGCCTTCATGATGGACTTCAGCACAATCTGCAGGCCTAGAAGGAAGGACAGAGAATGGCAAAGGGAGCCCTCCCCCAGCACCATCAGGCAAGGCAGACTCAGTTTACCCTGTCCTAGGAGGAGAAGGGCCGGCCTTTGATGGGAAAGAACCAGTGGTCCTGAGCTGGTAAAGATAATCCACAAAGAGATAACTGGGACAAGTCAAGCCAAAGGTTGCCGTCACCCCTTCCCCCAGGGATCAATCCCTCCTCCTCCTCACTACTCCCTGCCCATTCACATGCCTGCTTCCCTTCCTCACTGGTTCCATCCATGTTGTCTCCTGGATTCCTATGACAGATTAGATTGAGTAGAAAGTACTCCTTTCCTAAAGGAAATTAGGCCTAGTCCTATACATCCTACGAGAACAGGGAAAAAACTCATGTTCGCTGTCACTCTATCTCAGATCCTGTTCTCCCACCCGCTGTTGGGGGAACACAGTTAGGACAACCACTATTCAGAAAATGCCATATCCTTTGACCCAGACATGGTATTTCTAGGGTTCTAGCCTAAGAACATAGTCAGAGACTTGAATAAAGATTTAAGTAAAAATATGTTTGTTGCAGCACACTTATAGCTGGGGGAAAAAACCTGGGAATAACCTATTTTTATTATTTGTGTTGTCTACCAATATAAAAATGGCTAAATAAATCAGGACATGTATAAGAATTATTAATTTTAGAAAAATAAAATACTTATTTCAGGATGCAAAACTACATATATATGATGATTCCAATTATATTAAAATGCACAGGAAAATGAATAAAAGACATATTAAGATGCTAACAAAAGTTATTTCTGAGTGGTAAGATAAAGACTACTTTTTCTTTCCTTTTCTTCTTCTTTTTTTTGTTTTTTTTTTGTTTTTGGAGACAGAGTCTTACTTTATTGTCCAGGCTAGAGTACAGTGGCATTATCACAGCTCACTGCGACCTCCAATTCCTGGGCTGAATCAATCCTCCTGCCTCAGCCTCTCGAGTAGCTGGGACTACAGACATGCACCACAACACCCGGCTAATTTTTCTATTTTTTTGTAGAAACGGGGTCTTGCTCTTTTTCAGGTTGGTCTCAAACTCCTGAGCTCAAGTGATCCTCCCACCTCAGCCTCCCAAAGTGCTAGGATTACAGGCATGGCCTTATTTTCTTTTTTGTTGTTTTCTTAACTTTCTAAATTTTCTATAAAGTTCTTACATTATGTTTTAAATCTGATCTGAAAAAAAGTTAAATATGAAAATGAAACGTTATGCCAGGGTGCTGCATCTCCACTATTTATTAACACTGGGGCTTCCTCCAAGGAGGAATTGCTTCTTGTTTATCCCAAATTCTCTAAGACCCAGATCCAGCCAAGGACACATAAATAAAGTTATTTGCAGAGCAGAAAGAAGAAAGGCAGATGCTCACTAGGTATCCCTGACACGAGCTTCAAAGGCCTCAGGACACGCACAGCCCGGAGGGTCCTCAGGTCCACGTGAGTGTTGAAGTGGGTCCCTGCAGTGGCCAGGATGCTGCAGAGAGACACAGAAGGTCAAGGTTAGCACACAGACTGGCTTTCCCCTCCCGCTCTGTGAGGAAAGCTGGGCTGAAGCAGGATCCGCCTGGAAAGCACACAAGGCTGACGCCAGCTGTATGTGGGCGCACCTGAGCTTGGGTGAATCACCAGTGGTTCCGAGTGGAATTAAATTTAGCCATCTGGGTTTCACTTTGCAAAGAAGGACAACTTATCATCATATCAGAATCCTAGTTCCAAATTTTAAGTGAAACACAAGGTCCCCAGCATCAGTCCTACTCCTGTCCCCAAACCTTTTCCCCTACTCTCCTCTCTGTCCCTTGCCAAATTCCTTCCCCTCTTTCCAACCTACCAGGGCCTCAATTTTTTATTTCAAAATTTTCTTTGATTCCCCTGTCTCCTATCTCCCTTAGAAAATTTCTCTGGATTAAGTGCGGTAAAGCAGTAACTCACTCTTCACCTTGACACTTAGAATTTTTACCAAACAAATCAATTACGCTAAAGCTTATACTAATAATTGGGGAATAACTTCAGTAGTCTTCATGTAGTATCAGTATTTTATAATTACCTCAAACCACCCTTTGACCTGGATTGGGCTTCTTTGCTTCCGTTTTTCCACCTTCTAAAGCCATACCCAGAAGCACACACACACACACACAAATAAAAATTCATAAGAATCCTATTAGATTGTGTATACCAAGTACCTTGTCTTGAGGAGACAATTTATTTCGTATAATCTCACGACATTGTAGACACTTTGGAGAGACAAGGATACAAATGTACTTAGGAAAGACACAGCAGAAGACCAAGCGTCAGAACACCTGGGTTTAAGCCCTGACTCATTCACGTGAGAACCGGGTGACTTGCCACAAGTCACTCAACCTCTACAAGCCTCAACCTCCTCATCTATGAAATAAGGGGGGTCACATGGCCTAGTCATAAAAACAAAATGGCATGGTATTCAATATTAAGCATATTCTGTAAATTATAATGCGCACAACAGGCCTTGTGTCTAACACAGACATTAATAATACTTTCTAATTTTATTCTTCTTTCTGTGAAGAAGGAAAGTTTCTCCCTCATAACCTTTCCAGAACAATCTCAGCTACCCAGAACCACTGGGAAATGAGTCATTCAGAAAAATGGGTTTTCTATCTAGCCAAAGGATGGCAAGAATGGTTTATTTCATTGAATTATTGTTGGTGGGGCCTCTTAGAAACATTTCAAGTCTGAAAGAAGGCCTGGAAGTGCCTTCAATATCTGACATGTCTCCACTACCTGGAAGAGAACCGCATCAGAGGTTTAGGCTGCAGGACCCCAGGAAGGCGCAAATAATGCAGATTCAGGACAACGTGATCTTAAGTAAGAACTGCAGAACGAGCAATGCTTTATGTGGTAGTACACGTCCCAACATTAAAAGTATTCAAGAGTAGGGTATAGAATTATCTTCAGGAAGTAAAGACGGTTCCTAAACTGGTTGAAGCTTATTTAAATGACCCGTAGAGATTTCTCTCAACCTTAAGATTCCATAATTCTATGTCCATACCACCTCAGAATAAAACAGAAAGAAATCCCGCTCTCACACAGAGTCCCAGGAGCTAGAGAGGTGTTCCAAGTCATCTGCGCCTCTCCCAACCCAAACTTCCACGGCATCATCTGGAAGGAGGGACTTCGGGAAGCAGAGTCTTCTACACTGGTTTTGACTCTATCTTTCAAGACCAAAGACAGAAATCATGGAGGAGGTGATATAATTTCTAATAAGTAGGGACAAACTAAGAGGGAAAGAAAAGAGCAAGGAGAAACATGGAAAATCGAACTGAAAAATACAACAGAATTAGAAAAAAATAAGGAAAGAGGAAAGAGATTTAAAAAAACGTCAAGGACAGGTGTGGTGACAGAGAACTGCAGTAAACAGGATCCCAGATCTGCGATGTCGTCTAACAAAGGTAAGGTCACGGCGCTGCGTGTCCTGTGCTGCCCAGGTGGGGACCCTCCTTCCCCTGGCATCACAAACAGTGTGCAGAGTCTACCCTGTTCAGACGCTGGAGTTCTGTTTCCTTGGACACCCACATAACACAAGATGCCCTTTCATAGCACCCAAAGGGCTGTTGGGAATGAAAATTTCCTCCCCAACCCCGAGTTTGACAGGTATGCTTCAAAATGTGGAGGTAGAGGCAGAAAGACAAAATTTTAAAAGGCAAAAAAGGCTCACATGTGGAGTGAAACAAAAAAATGGGAGAAGGAAAGAAGAATGAGATGATAGGACAGTGAGTGGTAAAAAAAAAAAAAAAAAGTGAGAATATGAATCAGAAAGGAATAAGGAGAAATAAAACCTGGTGGAGAAGCAAGTGTCAGAGAGCTAGGAAAGCTCATGTGAGAAAGAGAACGAAAGTCAAGCCGACTTCAAAGACAGAAGCAAAAACACGGTATTTGTCGCAGGGGTCTCACTCTGCCAGCCTTGAGGTTTGCCCGTGCATGTAGCAAGCATGGCCCTTGGCTGAGTCTACCTGTCCCCAGGTTCGCCCAAGCCCTGCCCCACCGCACAGGGCCACGCAGCCTGTGGCCTTGTGCGCTCTTGGCACTCAGAATGTTCTTCTTTCCTCCAGTGGAGGAGGGGTGGCAATTGGGCCTTCGCTTGATGCACGGCAGCCACTGGCTGCTTTCTAACTGCCACCATCCAAACAGCCCTTGCGGGCAGAAATTACAGCTCGGCTGCCCTGTCCACCTGTTAGAAGCAAGAACAATGGGATTCTTAGAGGGAAAAAAAATAATCAGAAAGAGCCCTGCTCTGTGCTCCCACAATGAGCCCACCTCCCTCACTGCCCTGACCCCATCCTAGAGAAACTTTTTCTCATCCGTCTTTCCCACTAGACCCGAAATGCCTCCAACGGAGGTAATGCCATGCTCATCTCTACACCCCCAAACCCAGCCCAGTGTCTGCCAAGCAGGAGGTGCTCAGTAGATGCTTGGTGGATTGAACTTGAACTGCACTGAGGAAATGAATAAATCTGTTGAAGCAAAGATCAAAAGGAGAGAAATACCACAGAAATCCTAGATCTTACTAATGAGAAGAGCAGGGTAGCAAAGATGCTACTCAAACATATGTGTGTTTAAGAACATAGGGGGGTACTGGGAATTTATCCTCAAACGTTTAGGGTCTAATGAGGATCTTCTAATATACTTCTAAGACCCCTGCTCTCGAGCAGATCCCACAGGCAAGATCTGTCCAGTCCTCAGTAGGAGAGTTAGAGAGAGAGAGGGAAGGAAGAGGATTTGAAAGTTAAAAAACTTTCCTCCCACCAAAACCAAAGTATTGAAGTATAAACATCCCAGTAAAACTACAGGCCTTCTATGTACCAGGCCCTAGGAAGGGTGCCGGGGGAAAGTGAACAGGAGGAAATGCCAGCCTGGTCCCCAGCCTAGTGCAAGGAGACAGACATATAAAAGAAATAATTGTAATGCACCACGAAGCATTAACAGAGGTATTTACAAAGTGCTATGAGAATGGGAAACACGGCAGTGACGAGTGCAGAGTGCTTACTATCTGCTGGCATTTTCAAACGTTATCTCATTACATCTTCAGAAATATCCCAAAATTGCTATTGTCTCCATTTCATAGAAGAGGAAATCAAGGCTCAGAAAAAATTAAATTGCTAATAAATGGCAAGACCAGGAGTCAATGTCAGTTCTCTTCTGATGTCAAAGCCAATCCTTCTCCCACTCTGCCATTAGGCTGTGAGATGCTTTCCCAGCACTGGACAAGGCCAACAATTCCCAAGCCAAGGGGGTGCCAAAAAAACCAAAGGCAAAAATTTGGGCCCCAAAAGGGGCAAGCAAACTGAATCCCCTCAATCCAAAGCCAAAAAACAACAAAGACCAAAAAATTGCCAACGAACAACCCCAAAAACAACCGAAGGCAAAGCCCCCCCACATACCAAAAACAACAAAAAAACAGCACACGCACAGCAGAACAGCGCCAAAATATCTACACACACACACGGAGAGACACACACACAACAAAAAAACAGAGAGACCACAGAGAAGAAAACCAAAATGGGGGGCACAAAAAACCAAAAGCTCCACACTCCCAAAAGACACACACACCTGTGCTCTTCAGCAACAGAAGCTGTTTCCCATTCCTTTCATCACCGTAAGCATAGAACCAGGTGGAAAGCTCCATACACAGAAAGGTGCTTAATTCCTACCTTACCCCACAGCAGAGGACAGCTGGAGAGCACGCTCAGACCTCTGCCCACCACCAGCACCGATACCCTGTTCTTCTGCACACAGTCAAGTTCAATAACCATTTCCGGTTGGATGCCAGAACTCAGCCCTACCTCGTGTATTTTTGCTTTTAGTTGTCAGCAGGTAAGGACAGAATGGGGATGGATATGACCCTGGTGATGTGACACAAGTCCTCCCCATTGTGGCCACACTGCAGTGGCACAGAACAGAAGACAGAAGGATGCTCCAGGCCATGAGGACCAAATCAGTCACCCAAGGAATTCTTCAACCCTGCATTCCTTTTCCTTTGGACTTTGGGGTTCGTTCTTAGCCTTCTTGGCAATCCAGGTCTGCGGTCTCTTTTCAGAGGCACATTCCACTGTCCACGGCTGTCTGCCTGAAAATACCCTGAAGCAGCAGGCGTAGGTTTAGGACTGCCTGATAAAATATAGGATGCCCGGGTAAATTTGAATTTCAGCTACACAAAAAATAATGTTTAGTGCAATATTTGTAAAATGCATGGGATATTCGTGGCTTACCTGAAATCTGAAATTCAAATTGAACTGGACATCCTGTGTTTATCTGCTAAATTTGGCAACTGTACTGAGGTGGTGACCAGAAATGACCAGGTAAAGAGCTCCCCTCTTAGCTGTTTGTTCCAGCCCTAAACAGATTTGCAAGTTCCCTTCTGAGAATAGACACAAGCCGGGTCTTCTAGCATTGGCCCTGAACTCCAGAAATGACCCGTTTGCCTCAACCCATACAAACACCAAG